CCCCCCCCCCCCTCCCCACACACACACAGACGAACAGTGCATATAAAGCCGCTTGCAGACTTACGAGCCTGATGCATATGCTAGTAAACAAAGCTGCTTATTGACTTACAAACTTTCGATTGAAATAGAGCGGCCTTAGTATCATGGATATACCAGACTCAGTATGGTCACGTGAGAAAAATCCTATGCTAAATAAAGCTGCTTAGAGAGTTACGATGCATTTGCTGTTAAAAAAGGATGGTTACAGACTTCGAACTTACGCTTGACTCAAATCTTTATGCTGCTTACAGACTAAACGACTTATGATGCCAACTATCCTTTGAAATAAGGTCTCCTAAAAACTTAACATGTTAACAGTAACCTAATTTTGTTTAGAAGTCGCTTGTGTACACCCTTATCCTTGAACATCCGAACGCTGTTTATGGAACTGAGTTAATTCAAAGGGCATGTTTATTTGAAGAACGACTCGCTCGTAAAAAAATATAACGTAAGTTCAAGTATATTATGATTTATCAGGGTTGCGCGTATTAACAGATTTCATATTTGATATGGCGAATTTTTAGGAGAATTAACAGTAATAAGAATATAAAACACACTGTTAAATTTAACCATAAAACACATTTAATGTACAGATTCCTAAACTTCTTCGAACACCTGGATTCGACGAAATAGTTAAGCACCCGCTGTCCATAGACATCCGCAATTGCAGACGCGTTGCCTACCTTTAATCGACGGAGAAGAGGACGCAAAGAAAGTAAATATTTCCCTTTCTTATGAGTTCCCTCCTCCGTCAAATCCACTTCGATTTCCTATCCTTTACTTATAAGAAAACGGTGGAAAGGGAAAGAATTCTTAAAATAACTCTCAGGTTGTTCTAGACACATTTTGAAACTTGGTGTAAAAGCTGCCGAACTACTATTTTTCAGGATTTACAGAAGCAGCATTGCCTAGACCAAAAAATTCTGGCTTTCTTCTGAAGATTATAAGTGTACGTTACCTATAAAGCTGGCTTCATCATCAATGCGGTCGTGCAACGCTTGCATGACGAGTGCGGCGAGTAGCGCAGGGCGCGGTGGCAGCGGTAGCGGGGGCGCCAGGCCGCGCAGGCTGACCGGCGCGGCGGACCACACGGCGCCGCACAGCATGCCCTACTGCAGCCACGGCATGCCGCACTCACGGCCCACTGCTAACATACGAACAAATACGGATAAAGACTAGAAGAATACGTTCTGGTCTATAACAAAATTCCAATCACAACTATCTGAACTCCATTTACATTTTATAAATCAGATATTCCGAAATGACCGCAGAATGGTATCTGGGCAACATTGCGGAATTATCATGCATGCGGTTGGTACAGGACCGATCATAGTGGCGATCTTTCGAGATGGAAAAGGCGTCCTTTTACAATTTTACTAGTTACAATGTCTGGTGCTACATTTCATCTTTACCTAGTGAACTCTTAATTTTATTTCCCCTCATTATATACACATTACCAGTTCTCCCGTGGCCACCAGGTGGACCTGAACTATTTTAGCAATATCTTATATATAAAATTCTCGTGTCACAATTTTTGTTCCCATACTCCTCCGAAACGGCTTGACCGATTCTCATGAAATTTTGTGAGCATATTGAGTAGGTCTGAGAATCGGCCAACATCTATTTTTAATCCCGCTCCGACGAAGTCGTGGGCGACAGCTAGTCTGATATAAAAATGGCTGCAGCATTCAGTAGTAAAACATGTTCAGATTGGAACGAATCAAACAAGAAGCTTAACTCTACCACTTTTACGTTAGGCTCTCAGTCTGTGCCGGATCCTGTAGCACTCTCCCGAAGCTCGGCTTTGATACTTCAACTCAAAGCGTTCACGATAAGTGGTCGCAAACGATGCAAATTTGTAGGCGGCTCATTTTTAGTGCACGGGGTCGAGAAATTATAACGAGTAGTTCTTACTAAGTTCGTTTTAACTTCAGAACGTGCTATGTTTGTGATTAATTTACTTGAATTTGTGTATTTTATGTAAGAGTTCATGAAAAAACAATGATCGTGACGATATGTAAAAAGTACTATTATGGCAAACAACCAACCATTGTCAAGAAATGTTGACGCTTTATGGAGTTTGACGTTACACTGAATGACGTTATAAAGAGTTTACACTGTACAATTTGTAGGTCATATTTTTGTCACTAAATTACTAAACCATTATCTAGTTAATCTGGGTTTCTTAGGAAATATATCAAAAAGGCTGTATGTAAAAGTTATGTTTAGCTTGTTAACATTGTGAAGTCAGTGTGGAGCTCAAGGTTCGAGCCCGGGGCGGTTCACCTTGGAAGTAAATTTGCATAGACCAACAGATATTTTAAACAGAGAGTGCCACTTTTGAAATGTCAAGTGGCATGTCTTTACACGAATTGCAAGAAAATTTTATTCATTTGCGGTTCGTCGCGACATCGCAGGTTGATATAAAAACCATACAAACGAATTGAGAACCTCCTCCTTTATTAAATCAGTTAATAAAAAAAAACTAATATGTGCCTAATTATCGCTTGGTTTATAGGCATAGCAGTGATTCATAAAGGGTTCGAGGACATGGACAAGGATCTCAGAATTTAAATAGAACGAAAAGCAACAAGGTGTTCACCGAAATTAGTAAGGTTTTTAAGGGTCCTATTAGAAAGTATTGCAGGAATCAATGGCTGGAATGTAACGAATTTGACAAGCAAAAATTGTCTCAAACTTGGAAACAATAGAAAGTTTATGATTAACTCAAGTTCATAAACAAACTTGAATAGATGAATGACTAAACCCATTCAAGAGTCATTCGTTCACTAAATCGTACTGACCGCATCGTTCTTTACAGTGACGTATTCAGGTTTCTGAGACCCAGACACTGAGTTACTGTAGCTAATTAAATCTACAAGCAATTACCCAAACACGATTCATACAATTTTAAACTCTCAAAGCCTCATTTTAAAGTACATTTCAGTTTATTCTGCGCGAACACTTCGCAGGATTGCTTTGTGACAGCGAAGTCAGTTTTATAACAATGTATTGTTTGAGCCTGTCTTTTGTTCTTAGTAAAGAGATTTTAAATTTCTATTTACTTTAGCTCTATAGTTTCTAAATCTTTAATGACAATACAAAATGTCTAACTATGATATCAATTAATAAGATCTTGTCTTTAAATTCAAAATCAGCCATTTTCAGAGTAGATTCTTAACCTATATTCATAGTTTTACACTAAGGGACTCCCTAATCTTACTAATATTATACATGCGAATGTTTGGATGGATAGATGAAATATTTTCTTTCTGTGCATCCTCTCCTCCGTCGATTAAAGGTAGGCAACGCATATGCAATTGCGTATGTCTATGGGCAACGGTTACTATGCTATTTCAACGATTTCAGGTGGCCGCTCGCTCGTTTGCGAGCTTATGATATTATATAAAAAAAATGTTTGTTAAATGGTAAATCTCCATAACGGCTGTATGTAACACATAGGCTACAAATTTAGTTTGTTCTTAATTCTGCGCTGACGAAGTCGCGGGAAAAAGCAAGTCGTCAAGCAAGTGTTCGTCGCGATAAAACTCGAGAACGGCATAACGGATGTATCTTATCTTGGTCTTGTAATGTTCGTAGAGGTCTAGGGAAGGATTAAAAGGTAAGAAAAATTCGAATAATTGCCGGGAACTAATTAAGTTTTTTTGTTCCATGCACACGGAGTCGCGGGAGAAAGCAAGTAAGTGATAAATAACTATACAGCAATAAGTGAGATTTCTCTGCATTTGTAAAAGAAAAAAAATGCCTCGATATTTCAAATTGTTAGACAAATTTATTGTTTTTTGAACTAATTAAATTAGTTCAGTAAAGTATAAGAATAATATTTCTTCAGCAAACTATATTTTAATTGAAAACATTATTAACATTTTAAATTATCATTAAATAGCGACGCGTAATAAAGATGTTGGCTTCGCGCAAATTGTTCATAAATTCGTTGCGCGGGAAGATTCCCTCCAATTTGCTTAATGACCGCCATCTTTTATCATTTTGGCGGTATTAAAATTTATTGCCTGGCGCCTAGCTTTTTACGGAAGCTTGCCGGAGTTTAACGTCTGCTTTATTTCCTTATACTAAAGCCTACTTTAAGTTTAAATATGCTTTGGTTAGAACAAATATTGGCTATATCTGAGCTCTAATTCAACAAAAAATATTTTTATTTACAATACTATAGAGTTCTTTTGGCAAAATTCAAATAATTGCGTCATATTTTTACTCTTGTTCTAATAAGCTTTGCTTATCGATTAACCGTGAGTTTCTGAGACATCTGTATTAAATATATCGTCATCCCTGATATCTCGACGACTCAGAAATAGTATTTTAAACGGGGATTTTGGACTCGGAAACCCAGGGTTAATAAGAGTTTAACATTTCAGCTTGGAATATTTTTAAAATGTTTACAAAACGATGTTTGATTTTTTTTAAACTTATAATCAATTATAAAGTTTAAGATTATAAAACGCGCGTATCATTCATGAATATTTGACTTTACTTTAAATAATACGACCTAAAGAGAGGTTACTCTTCCAAATGAAGTCATGAAGATAGTGTCTTGAGGATTAAATTACACTTCATAGAGTTGCTTTGAATCATATACTATTATGTGTTAGAAAAACTAAATATAAACACAAGACTCAACGAGCAAAAGATGAGACAGGGTCACCTTGTAAAGGACAGACTGAGCTTCACTTAATTTCGTTAGACCTCATTTAAAAAGATAAATTCAAGTTCGTTACTTTGTAATTGTATTTTTTGATTGCCTGACACAGGAGCGAGTATGTATGTTCTTGTTACCTCCAGTAACAAATATCCTAAAGCCTGGTGTACTTTATACCAATTCAGTAGATGTCAAAATCAGCACTGGCATACAACTGGCGCCAGTCAAAACGAACGTCAATATAATAGCGTTGCTATGCTAATGTACTGGAGTAATGGACCAAATGATTTTTTTAAAGAGTGAGTTTTTTCAATTATCAAAATCTTATCTTACTATGTTATTAATATTGTAAATGCAAATGTTTAGATGGATGGATGTTTGGAGATATCTCCAGAACGGCTGCATGAATGTCGATGAAATTTGGCATACACATAGAACATAGTCTGGTAGAACATATAGGATTATGTTTTATTTTAATTCTGCACGGACGAAGTCGCGGGCGACCGCTTGTATTAAAATAAATAGGAGCAGTAGTTCCCTCGTTAATGCGATGACAAAACCATCCTTTTTAAAACGAAAGAATCTCGTAATTTTTCAAATTAATTTGAAGTATTACTTACATTTAAATGTACGTACCTAAATTATAATATTAATAAATATATCGATATGTCTGTATGTTATTGGAATTCATTTGTCTATGTACCTAACACTCGACCTACTTACTGTTCCATTGCTGTTTGTTGACGTTCCTGTTTTATTGCAGTAATGGATACTCTGCATGTAGTGGTTAAAGTGTCAATCTAGTCGATTGTCAATATGCCTAATTTCACTTCTCCTGCTAGCACTCTAGCTTTTTGAAAACAAATTTGTACGTTTCGCGCTTTTAGGTTAGGTAATTTTAATTCAGTAAATAATGTGTAATATAATATTTAAACTCGACGTAAAAATAAAATAAATATTAATCTTTGTGCGTCCCGGAGGCCCAATTTAGTCCCCTTTCCCTTCCTACCCTTTTTCTTATAAGGAAAGGATGGAAAGTGGAAGTGGACTTTCCGGATGAGAGGATGCATGGAAAAGGAAAATATTTTCTTTCTGTGCATCCTCTCCTCCGTCGATCAAAGGTAGGCAACGCATATGCAATTGCGTATGTCTATGGGCAACGGTCACTTCGCTATTTCAGCGATTTCAGGTGGCCGCTCGCTCATTTGCCACCTTATGATATTAAAAAAATAATATAAAGATTTCTTTCAAAAGTACAACAATGAAACATAAATGTCTTTTCAAGATTTTCATACAATTCAACAAAAATCCACCAAACAATATCGTGACCTGAAAATAACACAAAAGGTATTGTACGTTTACTCAGATATTTTAATGGGGTTAGTTTAATAATAGAGTAAGTTGCGATACATTTTTCTACAATACAACTTAATTAGCGATATTAAATGCTTAAGAATTGAAAAAAACATGAATGAACAAGAAATTCTTACTAATCAACTGATATAAAAACGGCTAAACATTCACGTATATTCGTACGGTGGTAGCACCGACTAGTTTCGAGCCCATCGGGGGCCCTTCATCAGGGCCGAAATAATACCATTCCCACTCACCGCGATGAAGGGCTCCCGGACGAATATACGTGAGTGTTTTAGCCGTTTTTATATCAGTTTATTATAATGTCTCACGAAAGTTTGAATAATTTAATCCGTACTCATCATCAACCTGCCCTTATCCCTATCGAGGGTCGGCACAGCATGTACTACTCCTCCATACATCTCTATCAGCCGTCATATCCGAGTCAACCCCCGTCTTACGCATATCCTCTTTCACACAGTCATTCCATACTTTTTTTGGTCTTCCCCTATCCTTGTAGCCACATTCAATCTCATTACTTTTTTGCTTATATCATAATCATCCCTCCTCATAACATGTCCAAACCACGCTAATCTTTTACTCCTCAATTTCTCGATCACTGGCGCTACTTTCAAACTTCCTCTAATATACACATTTTTAACTTTATCCTTCCTTGTCACACCACACATCCATCTTAGCATACGCATTTCAGCTACATGCAATCTTCTTTCATCTGAAACCTAAACCATAATTTAATCCGTACTAATATTATAAATGCGAAAGTAAACTCTGTCTGTCATTCTTTCAAGCAAAAACTACTAAACCGATTTAAATGACATGTACACAGATAAGCTAGAGCCTGGGAAAGGACATATGCTACTTTAAACGCGAAATAGGTGTCTTAAGGGGTTGAAAAGGGATTGGAAATTTGTATCGTCATTTTTAACAGATTTACGAGAATGTTTTTTGAGTTTAATATGTTTTGTTCTTGTATATTATAAGTGTTATTGTATATAATAAGTAGCTTATGTAATTAAAATGCTAACCATAGACAGTTCACGCGGACGAAGTCGCGGGCACAGCTAGTTGGGTTATAAATGCGCAAAGAATGACGTCAATACAAAGAATAGCGACTTTATCTAAAGTGAGATTTCTAAAAAAGAGGGCGAAATCAAAACCTTAGATCCTCATTGTTTTACATCCTTATAATACTTTTCTTATAAGTAAAGGTTAAGGCGTTTAGAATTAGGCCGACACTCATCAGACGAAACGCAGAATTACTTCGACTTCATAAGTCTTCTGTGTGATCAAGGAATCCTCGGTCTAGCGAATTTTCATGGATCAGATAATACTGCTGTCGACTACTCTAACTCTTAAATATAAAACAGCGTACTTGATATTTCTAGTAGTCTAGTAGTCTACCATAGAATTGACAGGAAAAGAAATCTATCTGTAAAATACGTTAGTATTAGAAACAAACCTGAATGTTATGTATATTAACAAATATTCAGATTTTGAGGTTAGGATTTATTATTCGTATTAACTCGACAAACATCAAGTTTATCCAATTACTCAGATAATTAAATTAAATTTTAATTACGACAATTCTAATTCGAACTTTGAAATTAAACGCAATTAAATCGTTATTAATTAAACAAAAGAAGGCTTAGTTATCGACAAATATGTATTCGATATTGAAACATATTACGTATTCAGTCATAACCTATAACATGAAAATGTAAAAATCGATGGCTTACGTTACAATTGAATGTAAATATAAACAACCAAACATACATACGTACGATTTAACTTTAATTATGAGTATATATAGTTAATAAGATTTACCTTTTACGTTGCGTCTTCCGAATAAACTTTCACAATGTTGGATAATTGAAAAAAATGTTACGTAAGTATTGACCAATGTTAAAGTACTATTTTAATATATTTTATTGTTTATTATCACCACACTTTCTTATACACGATGAATAGATTAATTTAGACAAATATAATAAGAGTTTTTGTAGAGAATTAGAGAATATATGGAAGTAAAATGGAGTCGCTACGTCCCTTTGTATTAGGGTTGATAGGGGCGGGAGTGCGCATGCGTGTGTTTTACACCCCTACTGTATTTTTTTTCGTTCGTAAATTTGAGCAACGTAATTCCACTTTTATAATACTTAATTCTACCATAATATTTTAGAACTTTATTTTTTGATTGTTTAATTAGACGTTTAATATTTTTACTTAAATTTAAACTTGGTGTAATTCTAAGGGCATCTGACAAGAGGTTTCTACGCGCGTGTGTAAGTTATTTGATGTATGTGGGTATGTACTTTGTGTAGATTCCATTGTGATAGTCTAGAGCCTAAATAAATAAACCAATTTTGACGAGTAAGTTCTCATTGGGTGATAAGAAGTAAGAAATAAATATCAAAATAGTAAAAAACGAGTTCAAATCTCGCTCGATTGAACTTTTTTTAACATTCCTAACTATTTTTTTTGATGTTTTCAAATATATTCTAAAAAAGACTGCGTTTTATATAACATTATAGAAATAATAAGTTTAAATTAATAAATCTTTGTTTAAAAAACCGACAATAGATGGCGCTCTTTCACTTATTAGTCAGTCGGGACTTTTTTTGATACTAAGATTACGTTATACTAGTAAGGTATTGTGATAGATTCACCTTACCTTAATACAAAAATCTGTGTTTTAATTATTTTTGCAAATATATACAGATTTCAGCATAATATACTTGTTTATAAACTAATGGATAAATTGACGTAGTTTGTTCGAAAGGAACCTATTACATTTTTTTTATAAGAGAAAGCAAATGAGCGGCGGGAACACCGAGGTGATCAACGACACCCATGGACATCTGCAACACCAGAGGAACTGCAGTTGCGCTGCCGGCCTTTAAGGTATGCTCGCTTCTTGAAGGTGCCTAAGTCGTATTGGTTTGGAAATACCGCCGACAATTTACATTCGGTAATTTTGTGAAATTTATAACCGTCGGTTTCCACTGTAGAAAAATATGTATGAAAAAATATTTTTCTCTGTTTATAAGTTAACGATATGACTATGTTTATAGACAGGTGTTTCTCCAGTGAAAACTTAAAATAATATCAAACTTTCGCAATTTAGCTGTTGCCTGCGACTCCCTCCGCGCAGAATTTTAAAATTATAAGTAGCCTATGTGTTCTTCCCGTTCTGGAGATACCTTCAAACATCCATCCATCCAAACATTCGCATTTATAATATTAGTAAGAAGTAAGATGTAGATATTGTCAAAATGTGGCCAGACCAAGTCATGTGTTTAGTCTTGTCTTGTCTTATTACAGGATTAAAGAAAAGGTAAAAATAAAACACACAAAGAAAAACTACATGAATAAAATTTTGTATTTCACAATTTTTGAAATATAGTTACACAATTATAGTCTTTAATAAAATATTACTAAGCTATATTTTGCAACAACACACAAAAATACATTGCTCTTAACATAACGTATATATCTATATTTTAATGTAACTTTTTCGATTTAACTGCATTGTTTAAACTAAATTCATCTATGTCACTAAATCTTAACCTAATTATATGCCGATTCCCCTGGATTCCTGGAAAATAAAAGTTTCATTGGTACTATGACGTTTGTCTATTTAAACTAGCTGTCGCCCGCGGTTCCCCCACGTGGAATTATTAAAAAACTTGTAAGTATGTGTTCCAGACTATGTTTTATATCTGTGCCCAAATTTCAGCGAGATCCTTTTAATGGTTTTGGAGATACCTTCTAACATATTGTTAGGAAGAAAATCCGGCACTGTGCCGGTGTACTGGTGCAACACTAGCCTTACTAAAATTTCAACGTTTATGTCCCCTCACTAATCTGACACTTGACTTTGTAACGAAAGCGCGACATTCGCGCTAAAGGATTCTATTCTATATAGATGAAAATAATATGTTTAACAAACATACCTTTCTTAGCACCTTTAATTATTTGGTCATTCCTTGTTTAGCTCGTCTCTCCCACTCCGCCCTCATTTGTAAAATACCCTTGAACTGCGGCGACGCGTCCGCCTCTCCCGTGTTCACTTTGTCTTTCTCATTCTCCACTTTCTCCTTCCCACTCTCTCCTTCTATCACAGAACTCTCTCTTCTCTCTTTCTCCACCGACAATCTGAACTCGTCTTTCCTCTGCCAAGGACGTTTTGTCAAAGTATCCGCTTTGTAAGCCATTACTTCATTCTTTACCATGTCTCTGTCGTTTGAAGGATCGGGGAAAGTTCTGTTCCTTAGTCTCTTTTCTGGAGTAGAATCTGATACTTCTTTTTTATATTTATTTATCTCGTTTCTATAAACGGGTGCGCTTTCTCGTTTCACGTTGGATACGCTGTGTATACTAACACTTCTTTGATAATGTACTCCGAATTGACTAACTCTAGCCGCGATGTCTACTAACTTATTCTCAGTTTGGTCTTTACCGTCATTCTCTTTGTCGCTGTCTCTAGATTTTATTGATGCGTTAAATTCATTTTTAAGTGTTTTAGATTTTGTATTATCATCTTTTTTATCTTTGGTGTCAGCGATCTCTTGAGCTATAGAATCTGCTTCTGTGTCTTTAATTTTTAAAGATCTTCTTGCGAACACTTTCATTAATTCAGGTTCATCGTCTTTTCTATCTCGTGTCTCCTTCCCTATTATTGGTTTCTTTCTGTATACAACTGTTTCTTCTTGTCTATCTATTTTGTTTTCGTTACTATCAAAACTTTGAATAGAACTTTTGCTACCGAAACTAGAATGTGATTTCTGGTCGATGGATATGTTGTCGTAGATTTTTTCGGTACTCCCTTCAGTGCTAAGTGAGTTTGTTCTAGTTTTTTCTGGTTTGTCTTGATGGTCAACGCTTGTTGCTTTCCTTTTGAAATAGTTTCGTGGCGTGGAACTGCCAGATTGAGTTGTTTGAATTGTCTTCGTAATTTTATCTACTTGAGTATTTTCTATGTTTTCAATTTTGTTCGGTTCTTTTTCTAAAATGTTTAGTGCTTTTGTTTCCGTTGGAAATGTTTCTATATCTTGTTCTTTATCTTGTTGTGGTATTTCTTTCTTTGGTGTTACATTCGCTGTTAATACAACATTTGTTATAGGTTTAGCGTCGACTTTATTTAATTGAATATTAAGGAATTCTGGGACACCAGGTTTAGTAGGTTTTTGTAATTTTTCATCGCTTTTATTAATTTTCGTTTCCATATTTTTAACCGCAACCGGAGTTAATTCTCTATTGACATGAGTTACAGAAATGAAGTTATCTGAATCGTATTTGGTTTCTATTTGTGTAATTTTATCTGTCTGACTCAAAGTACTATCTACTGATATCGTTTTTCTTCTATCATCGACTGTTTTTCCCGGACTACTTTTAACGCTGTCCAAGGAATTTGATTTGAGTATTGTTGGTGATATTAAAGGTTTGGGAGAACTGATTATGTCGTCAATTTTAGCTTCAATTTGTGATATGTCACTATCACGTTTATGTGTGTCGAGATTTATATGAATACTGTTTGTGAATAGTTTTCTATCATCTTCAGCTTTAAGACTATCTAGATAACTGCTGTCTGTACTTTGCAAACTATCGTAGTTAGTTTCAGAGCTAGATTGGACGATATTATAGTTTCTCGCGGATACTCTTTTAGAGTAATCGTGCCTGTCGACATTTCTTCTGTAATTCACTTCCCAACTCTCCAGCAAAGGCTCGGATATACCGACGATTGCGGGAAGACTCGGCATTTGGTTTTCCTGTGAACTAATAGAAGTCGATTCGGACGCGTAACGGAAACTATGTGACTTTCCAATACTGCTCCTAGTCTCATATTCATCACCCAATGATCTTAGACCAGAGGTCACGTAAGACTCCTCAGTTTTTGTAGGGAATTGTACTTCACGTGTTTCAATTTTCTCTCGATATTCGACATTTTCTGAAGATCGTGTTGTTTTCTTAACGTTCTCAGATGACTGACTTATTTTTGTCTGCGGTTGCGATATTACGATGCTAGGATTGAAGTAGGGTAGATTCTTAGGCATGCTTCCACTATGGAAAGTGTAGTCTGGATTGTTTTTGATCCTCATCGCTCTTAAAGGAGGCTCTTCGTCAGATATTTCTAGCGATGGGGACAATGTTTCTTCTTGGGATTGATTTATTTCATTATTAATGAAAGCTTTGGAAGAAAATGGATCCATTAGACGTTGAACTGACGCTGGTCTTTTAGTTTTGTCAAGGTTCAGATTAAAGGATTCCCTTTTATCATCGATCGCTTCTCTTGAAGTCGAACGTTTTCTTTCTACTTTTTCAGTGTAATCTTCTCGTCTACTAAAGCGACTCTTCATTTCTAAGTTCAGCATAGTGTCGGTTTCCTCTGCGATTTTGAGATCAGTTATATTGTAATCAACTCCGGAAACTTTGGCAGCACTGTATGCGTCTTTGTAGCCATCTTGTACGTAGGAACCTTGTTTATCTATACGCTTATGTTGTTGGTTAGCGAAGGCTTTCTGACCCGCGGATTTATAAGTTCTCTCCATGGGCACAGGTTTGTAAACTTGTGGCTCAGAGTAATCAGTTTGGAGATCAGAGTTTGAACTTTTAGATTTCTCCGTTTTCGTTTTCTTCACTTCTTGACTTTCTCCATCTGTCTGATCTTTCTTTGATTTCTTTCCGCTCTTCCTTAGTAACAGTCTGCTGAAGAATGATTCTTCTTTTTTACATTTGATTACTTCGTTTTCTATTTTCTTTTCAGATTTCGATTTCTTTTCGTGGCAAGTTTCTTCGGCGTATTTTTTATCTTGACGGTAATTTGAACGATCCTCTGTATACTTATGTATCGGGGAATCTCTTAGTGGTTGTTCCTGAGTGCTGGATTTGCTCCTCTTGATGGAGGACCTGGGTGTGTTTGAGTCAGCGATGCTGAGTTTAGCAGGGGAGGATACCCCGTGTCCGAGAGCTAGGCCTGGCGGAAGAGAGGAGGACTTCAGTTTGGCATCGTTCGGCTCAACAACTCTTTGTAGTTC